CTCGAAAAAACCTAAGTAACAAGTGGTAGACGTAATCTTTGTATCTCCAAAAATCTCGAAAAAACCTAAGCAGTAGTATTTTTATTTCCAAAAAAATTATAACTCAAGTGATACACATCACAAAATTACGTTACCTTATCAAAAATGAGTCGCGCTTTAAGTGATCTATTATTACAATTACAAAAAAGAAATGATATCTCTTTTTAAATTACAGCGCCAATTACAGAGAACATATTTTTCGAGATACAAAGATTACGTCTACCACTTGTTACTTAGATTTTTTCGAGGTATAATATTACCACTGCTTTTCTTCGATTAGAATAAAAGATTGAATCATGAAGAATTACACAGAGGTAACAGTACAAAATACAAATTTTTTATTAAAATATTTAAACCCAACAAAGGAATACAAGGTATTTAAATACAAAGTTTATATATGTATTTTAAAAGATTTAATCGCATCGCAAAAAATTACAGAGGTAACAGTACAAAAAATAAAAATATTTTATTAAAATACATAAATTTTTCTTGTCAAAAAACTTGGCAAAAGACTGGGGAGGAGGAGGGGAAGAAGAGTGTCAAATGCCAGCTTATTTAAATATTCATGGTTTAAAAATGAATGTATGAATGTAGACCAAAAGAATTAAAAAATTCAATAAAAATAAGTTTCGAAGAAACTTCAACAAAATATGATATCGCGAAGATTGCTGTGATATAACTGTAGCAAGATGATTTTAATGCAAAAAATCATCATATTTGAAATATTTTTTGTCCAATAAATTATTGAAATATTTATAATAAATGATACAAAATATATAATTATTATACAAACATTTAAAAATTATTTAATATTATTAAGCACGTTTAAAAATTAGTATGCAAACGCGATATAAGAAAGTAAGTGACATATAAAAGCATAAGAAAATAGTTTTAAGAGAATAGATTAAGATATTAAAAAGAAAATAATCTATAGAGACTGAAAGAAACGGAAGGTTCAGTAATTCTAGGAAGCAAGAATAAAAATTATTATTACTCTCTCATACTATAATATAATAATTTATAATCTGCAATGTAATGTTAGAAATGTCGTTCTGCACTGCACAAAAGAGCCGCAAGCTCTAATACATAAAAGCGATAGCAACGCGTATAACAAATTTTTATCTTATTTTTGAAAGATGTAATGTTGTAGAATAGCATTATCATTTATGAATGAATAGATTAGATATAAAAATGTTTTTAATTTTTATTTATAATAGAAATCTATATAAAGGAGATTATGCTCAGTTTTATATAAAAAAATAGGCCCTTAGTGAACAGCAATCAGACATGGCTAGAATTGTAGGGCATCAAAGAGGATTAAAAAGTTCCATGGGCATAACTTTGTAACGAGTCCTCTGAATGCTAAAGCTGTAAAGTTTGCTATATATTATAACGATGTACCACACTGGTCTGATCCGATTTCTCTGCATCCAGGCCTTTCCGCTGTGACGGCGATAACGGATTATACCAAAGACATTGAAATAATATGTCTAGAATGTATTTGATACAGTTCATTAACCTGGCTAACAAGGAAAGGTACGGAAGTGTCTCTCCGATTTTGATGAGCTTTTAAAATGTTGTTTTCTAGACAAAAATAAGAGACACGTATTTTTTTATACGTGTCCATACGCATATTTAGAGGCTGAAACATCCTTTTGAAAAAAATGATTTTTCTTTTTTCAGGCCGAATATTTCCGAAACTGTAAAAGATAAAAAAACACATTTTAAACAAAAGTTGAATGGTTTGAAGAGTACTTTAAAATAATAATAATAAATTTTTATTTTTTAATAATTTATAATTTAGATTAGGTCCGTACGCTCACCAGATTTTAATTAGGTAATTTTAAAACTTTTCGTTTTGTACTGCGTGAGTACCCCCCTATCGATTAATCGATTAATATATGACTTATGACTGTTCACTAGGGGCCCAAACTGGGTATAGTTTTTTTCAGGAAAATAATGATGATAGCGGAAGTATTTTGAAGACTTTTATTACATTTTGAAAAATTTAAATACACAATTATAACGTACATAAATAGATCATAAATGTTTTTTTTTTACATTTTACATATATATATCTTACCTTTTCCATGATAATTGCTTAAAATACTATCAAATATATGCGTTATTCTTGAGAGGTTGTTTCATACGTCTTAAACCTTAAAATGACCATATATAAAAAGATATGTACTCTTAAATTTTTGTGTTTAACAATATATTTTAAGAAAAATTAAATCGATTTCGGACAATTATAATATAGTCTTTCTAAAACATAAAAGAAGCATAATTGTCTGAAATTAATTGGATTCTTCACTTCTTGAAATATATTGTTAAACAGTTAAACACAAAAATTTAAGCACACATATCTTTTTATACTATGCTTATTTTAAATTTTAAAGATCGACGTATTGTAGGATAACATTATCAGTAAATTTTAATGTCGCCGCGTCCCAATAAAGTATATATATTTATTATATTACTCCTCTTCTTCTTCCTCCTCCTTCTCCTCCTCCTTATATTGTATTATATTATCTTTTATCTTATTATCGTCTATCCATTCTTCGTTAATAGCTGATATGATTTTGTCGTTGTCCATCATTGTGATATGATTACCTTCCACATAATGAATTTGCACTTTACCTTCGGTAACCTAAAAATAAGTTTCTTGTTATTTTTAAAAACAGTTTTATTTCAAAAATATCTATCCAAATTATAGATTTATTTACCTTATGTAAACCATAATCCTCTTCAGTAAAAGAAACAATCGGAAATGTGGGTTTTAGCAATGTTATAGATGATTTAAGGCGAGGTAATGATGAAATATCGTAATCCTGTACAGCGACAATATGATTGAAAACTGTGAAATATATAAGCTTTTGATTTTCGATGGTCAATACATTTAAATCCTTCGGGAAGTAAGCATGAAATACTTTCACTTTTTCGTCCCATGTGTTACATGTATTCAGCTCTAACGCAAGCTGTAAGTAAGAAAATTTTATATGATTAATTGTAATAATTGTGCCAAAGTAACGTCTGCGTTTTATTAATATAAATATAAAAGATTTATTGAATTTTCGAACCATGGTAAAATCTGTTGTTATTCTTATTAGTTCATTAAAATTCCTTACATATTTATTAATACTGACTTATTGTGCTTTCTATCTAAAACTATTATTATTATTTAATCTTGACA